CTACCATGAATTATTTGATCTCTTGGGTTGTATCCTGCGGCAGCTTTAGGGGAGGGGGGAAGCGGGTGACAACTTTCCTCAAAGAAATATAGTCTACTAGTCAGTTATTTAATACATTTCAGTTAGGTAAATTTTAGTTTTGAGTAACTTTTTTTTTATTTTTAAGAACCAATCGGTAACTTTTTAAAAATTCACCCCTCCCAAATATTTTATTCGTAAAATTGCCTCTGGTTGTATAAGATGTGGTTTAATCTGCCAAAGTATTTTAGAAACACAATCAACGCCTGCACAAAATTGTGTTTGTAGAACTTCTAAGTTGCTGTTAGAGGTAATCAAGTCAGTAACTAAATAAAGTATTTCTAGTCTATGAGCAGAAAAATAATCTCAAAATAATTTTCTTTTTAAATTCTTAACATAATGTATAATGTATCCTGATATTATAGGCTTACCAGAAGAAAGACAAACAAACTATGAACTTTAGACCTTAAAAACTTCGTCCAAAACGAAAACTGTCAATTAAGTAATAACCATAGTAATTTAAATCTGCATGCAACTCTTGTCAGTTTACTTTAGTATTGTTTCAATTTTTCTAGTCTCATTGGTGATTAACTGCCATTTGCAATATAATGCTTTTTAATCCATCAAACTGTAGTTTGATTTAAAAATATAGACTTAAGTGAACTTATTGCGGCAAATTTTTGTTGAGATTTTTTTGAATGTTAAAGCGAATTTGTTATCTAAGGTATTTTTCTTGGTATAGTGTCCATCTTTGTTTGTTTATTTTTATTTTTTCTTGTAGTTATAGGTAATTCGTAGAAAAGGTGAAAAAAAACATCAATGGAAAAAAAAGTTTGATACATTTGTTTTTTACATCACTGTTCATATTGACCTATATCTATCTTCTCATTAAAAAAAAGTACTAACGAAATAATCGCACAAAAATTGAATAAAAAACTAATCATAATTTAATTTAATAACCGATTTTGCATTAAAATGTTTCACAAAACACTTGGTTATTTTATTTATACGAAAAACTTTGGTTTCATTTGAAAAACTTTAAAAGAAGAGCAAGAGTGCGCCGTCGGTTAGGAGTGCGCATGTGTAATTCTGACAACTGGCTATTATTTAGAAAGTCACACCGACCCATCGGTGATTATCTCAATTATACAAGAACGCGTGTTGTTTAATTTAATTAGCTATCCGTGTTTTGAAATATCAGGAAAGATATGATTTTCATACTTTAGTATGTAAATTTAAAGGAAAGGAGTTTAGTTAAATATTCGCGCATATATAGTTTATGAAATGTGATAAAGATTATATTGAGTTGTATTAATTTTAGTTCCTAATAATAAGTGAGGTTAGAATTTTAATTTGCGTGAGGTGTTGCGATCTGGTTATAACTTTTCAAAACACATTACGCAAACACTTCAACCAACAAAAGTTACTGTCATAAAATCGCATGATCCAAATGTGATAAACGAAACTAAATTTGCACCTTCACAAGTCACTCTGAATAAAGAAACGGCATTAAATGAAAATACATTAAATAAAATTGCATTAGATGAAAATTCATTGAATGAAAATGATTTGGATAAATGAAAATGATTTGGATTCGTTAGACGAAAGTAACTTGCAAGTAGAACAATCATTACATACATGTTCCAATAACATAATTGTTTTTATTGGTACAATTGTTCCTCTTCCATAAAAAATGGAGGGCAAACTAAAAAGTAGAGAATATCTCAACAATCAACAGTCATAACGTCGTCTTTATATAAAAAGAAGCTAGAAGACATAGAAAAAATGAGTCAAGAATCCAAAAAAGCTAAAGCCGATCGAGCTAACAAAGAAGAAAATTTTCTAAAAATCTAGTTTTAAAACGTTAAAAAAACTAAAAAAGTCAAAAACCTTAAAAATGTTACAGATTTAAAAATGATGAAAAATAAGAAAGGATTTGTCCAACTTGTGGAGAAGCAGAGCAAATAGATTAAAAATGGATTCGATGCGGACTTTGCAAGAGTTGGTGGCATGAAGAATGTACTAGTTATAAAAGAACCATTTATTTGCAATCATTGTTAGTGCGTACCCTTACCCTCTCATATGTGGACTCTCACCCTCATGATTAGTTAAAAGTGTGCAATTCTAATTTTTTATAAAATTTATATTTTCAAACTTTTCTTTATTTTCAATGCAATATTATTTGCATTATGTCTAAATTTTTGTTATATATAAAAGATTATTGTATAAAAATTTCAGCATTCTCTCAATTTAATTACTCTTTTTATGAATAAAAACTCATTAGACGTGCACACTTATACTCCTTTCCCTTACTTTAGATTTTTTCATTGACCTATTAAAAGTATTCGATACTTTAATTAGGTCAATGATATGTCATATAAATAGTTCATCAAATCGTAAAAAAGTTTTTTTCCGCAATAATCGTAAGAAGCTTTTTTTTCAGTAATACTAGTAAATATTTTACGTGTTATTTCACAAGGCTCTATTTTAGGGAAACTAATATTATTAATTTATTACAATGACTTAAATAAAATCTCAATTCATCTCATAAAAACAATGTTTACAAATGAAATTAATTTTTTTCTATATTTGAACTCCAACGTAAGAACAATGATTTTAAAAGTATATCCTAACAACTTAAATGCAGCAAATGAAATCTTGGCATTATCAAAAGAAGATGAAATATTTACTTGTCATCTTTAAAAAAAACATTATTATACTTAAGTTTTATTGACGATATTTACGTAAAAAGAGATCATGTCACAACATTTTAGGTGCTGTTTTTGACAAAAACGTCAGGTGAAAACTACACATTGACTGTATTAGTCCGAAAGTTTCTAGAGCAAAATATTTTACAAAGAAAAACTTAGTTACAATTATGCAAAGTTTCCAAAAACTTATGTTTTTCTAAATAGAACGCTTCATGATATTGTACTTTCAATGAACGTTTAACGTCAATGAATGTTTAAAGTCAATGATTGTTTGACGTTAATGGATGTTCAACGTCATTTTTCATTAAAAAATTATGCAGAAAAATTTTTAATAAACATATTTAATAATAGGGGTACTAAACTGCTTTTCTAAAAAGTTGAATGAAAATATATGAATAAAAAGAAACTTTATTTATTTCCTACTCTAAAACATCTTTTTTTATTATAACGCAACTGTAAAAATCTAATTTAAAACAAATTTGAATCTTTTTAAAATGCTTGAAAATAAATAATAAAAACCCCCTAACACTACGAAGTATTCCATTGTTTTTTTTAACATCAAAGTAAAGCCGCAGGATCTGGTAGATAGTAAAATGCATTTCTCATCCGACTTTCCAAAGTTTAAGGGGAAAAAGAAGTCTGACGAAATATCGTCTATTTTCTAAACTACTCTCATTGCGCAGTGGAGTATTTGATCAAAAAAGTCAATAAAAATTGTTTCATTTTAGTAACTCCAACAACAAAGTTAGCTTATGCATGTTCAAAAACCTTTTTTTATATTTCACTACGTTTCTCCAGGTTGATTTTTCAATATTTATTGGGTTGACCTATATTTCGAGTTTGATACACTTAAAAAAACAATTACCAAAAAGTGCATAAATGCACTATGCAATGTCCTCAAATGGTTAATTAATTTTTTTTTTTTTTTTTTTTTTTTTTTTTTTTGCGGTCAGTTTAATGAAAATTTAAAGCCAAATGAAGCCCTTTTGAAATATTTCAGTATATTAAAATTTTTTTTATTGGAATACTCCATTTAATGAAAGTTCTAGGAAAAAATCTAATTGGAAAAATCTCCTGGAAATAATGTATCCGAAAATATCCCGAGAAATGATTTACCTTAAGAAAAAATCTCATGCGAAAAAATTGGCTTTTTTGAAGTATATATATTACCTGCCCAAAACGAAACACTCAATCAATGTATGGTTTTTTGGTTTGTTATCAAGTAATGATCTCATTATGATTTCACGAATTCACAACTACAGTTGAATGCATTTAACTCTGGTTGTGATATCAGCATGAGAAGATAATGAGATAATTATTTGATATCGAAGAATGATAAATTTTTGATATCAAAATATTATTGCATTGATCTCTTGTGTTGTCTGAGAACGAAATTGTTATGGCAAAAAAAAAAGTTATGGGAGAAAGTTAAAAGACTACTCAATAAAAGCTGCTCATTAAAAATTTTCTTATAAATTGTGATTTTAGAAAAACCGTCCCTATCATTATCTTTCAAAAAAGAAGTTTTTTTAAATTAATGCTCCTGGAAAAAAAAAAAGCCTGGAATTGGTGATTTTGAATTCATAAGTTTTAACTATTGCTAAAATAAATAGTAATGAAATTATAATGTATATATATGTATATATATATATATATATATATATATATATATATATATATATATATATATATATATATATATTATATATATATATATATATATATATATATATATATATATATATATATATATATATATATATATATATATATATATGTATATACACATAGGAAGAGAGAGCTCATGTTATAAAAAAAAAATAGAAAATAATTAATTAAGCTGTTTTTATTATTTTTGAAAAACCTTTCAAATGAATCATTGAATTTTTAAACATTTACTGTTTAACATTTACTGTTTAGAGCATAATGTTTATAATATATTGCATATATATTAAATTTTTTATATAATTATTTTAAAAAAATTGTGTAACAGTCATTGATAACTTGGTAAAATTAGTTAAGTATTAATTCTGTAATAAGCTTGCCAATTTTTAAAATCAATTTTTAAAAGTTTGAAAGTTTGTCATTTTATACATTTATAACTTTGACAATTAAAAAAGAAATAGATTTTTATCGGTATCAAAGAGTTTTTAAAAAGTTATATTGTATCAATAAAATTGAAATTATAATGTGCGAATGGCTTGAAATCTAGCTGTGATATCTATAGAAATTATCTAATAATAGTATCTAAAGACACTTTCAACATAATCTTTTGATAAAAGAAAATTTCTTATGTTGTACAAAATGTAATTAAAAACCAATTTTATGTTTATGGATGTTATTGCGATCGATTTTTTCTTTACTTCCTACAATAAGTAATAAAAAAATGTCATTTTTGTATTTTTTAATTATGCTTGTATTTGCTTGTAATTTTTTTTTAATGCTTATGTACCTTATATAATAATATATTACTAGCGCGTGTTAATTGAAGTGTATTTTTTAAGTTTAAAAAGTTACTTTTAGACTAAAAACAGATGAAATCAACATGATAAAGTTAGTTGTTATAGTATATTTGATAACTACGATTGGATGCATAGTGAAACGTAATTTTCCTAACAAAAGATTTTTTGAGAATAATTTTGAAACGACAGAGCGTATTGGTCTTAAAGCGTTATGCAAACTAAAGCCTACAACAACTTGTAAAAAAGTTTGCGTTAAAACTGTATGTTACAACATATGTCAACCCGATCAAGTTTTAGAATGCCAACTATAATTAAATTATAGTAAATCTAAATTCTGTTTTTTTACTTTTTAGAGTATTACTTATGAGTTTTACTTTTAGGTGTTTTTTTTAGTTTTATTTTTTAATTATATCTTCTATCAGGCACTTTTATACCATCTGAATTTTATTGGCGCTACGAACGATGAGTTTTCACCAAATAAATTAAAAGGTTGTGTTAAAAATTTTTTTTTAATCTATCTTATTGTACTAGATCAGTGTTGTGAAGATTATTTGCATTAAAACCAAAAAACATGAATTTTACTTGAATTTTTTTTAACTCGAATAGAATAATAATATAATAATAGAATAACCCATACTATAATATTTTATGGGTCCTCTCAGTGCTGCTATGAAGCTCTGCACACAAATTAAAATGGATTCGACGAAGTTTTTTATGAAGGTGGTAAGCTTACTTTTATTTTTGCAGTTATTTTTTGTATATATCGTTTGTAGTTACTTTTTAGAATTAACTATAGATTTTTAATTGAATTGAAATCTGATGGTTTGCAAATAAGTGTTATAAATTTTTTTCTAACATATTTTTTGACTTTTTGATTGTATGGCATGGAATTTAACTCTGCTGAAATGTTTCAGAAAACACTATCAACAGTTTTGCATTATTTAAGTTTGCAGAACCTTTAATTTGATGATAGAGTTAATCATCCACTACCTAAATAATGTATTCCTAGCCCAAGAGCAGAGTAATAACCCCAAAACATCTTTCTTTTGGAGTGCTTAACATTATGTAAAAACAAAAAAAAAAGGTTAAACAATTTTAAGTTTATTTTCCTGGCAAGAAAACCTAAAGGGAAGTTTACTAAAACAAAAACGCTAAATTTATTTAACTGGATGCAATGCAATGAGTTCTAGATAAACGGTAAAATTGCAGGTTAATTGATGCGATGTCACATACATTCATTCATACATACATTGTATTAAATTTCTACAATCTGTTTTTAAAATCATTTTCCTCATTTCTATTTGATGCAGATGCTAAAAGTGTTCATTGTATAGCAGAAGCAAAAATTATTAGCAAGTTTCATACGACCAATGATATATTAAAAATTATTCCTAATATATCATTGCATACGACGCGGTTTGAATATCTGAATTTGGCCTGTAGGGAAAAAATTCTAGCCGTTTTTAGATCTTGAGATAAGTTGAAAATTTTTCTCGCTTACACTATTAAGAAATCAGTAGTGCATGATCTCATCGCTTAACATAATCTAGTCGAAAAACACGAAAAAAATCAAAACAAATGCATGTATACTTTAGTCAGTTGTTCATAAACTATATCACAAAAAGCAGTTAACATTATCTGATTATTACAATAATATATTAAAATATGAGAAATATTTATTTTACTACCAAATTACTAATGATTAACTGTTTTTTTGGCGCAGCATTTTAATAATTAATGGTTACTTGGAAAATTATTAAAACAGTGCTTCAGTAACTTTAAAAGTAAAACCGCTAATGGATAAAGTAAAAAGTGTCACAGGCTTTCCAAAGATAACATTTTATAAAAAAAGATATAAGATTTACAAACAAACTAAATGAATTTTAGAGATGGACATTTTACGTAGGAACATTTTGAATCATAAATCATAAAGTTATTCACTGCTCTACTCCAGACATAGTTGCAGGATTAAACAAAATATATGTAGTGGAACGATACAATTACCATAAACACAATATTTTAATGACTGAAGCTAAAATGAAAAATCAAATGAGTTGAAGCTTGTTAGAAGCTTTACATACAAGTGAAATTTATCCACAAGTAAACCAAGTAAACAACAGCTAAGTTCTAGTTTTATACTAAAAACGACCCGATGCTTTTGTAAACCTTCAAATAATACTAAACAAAACAAACAAGCATATAATAAAAGTTCCTAAGTTAACTTAAAGGACGTTGCACAAAATAAATTAAAAAAGGAAGCAAATTTGAAAATACAAATGGACATATTTGTAAACACAAATGGAAAATTTGAAGTAAAAATGTTTCATTTCATAACATGATATGAACATATACAGACATGAATTTTTTTTATTTAATAATTATGTTTACTAACTATGCAGCTATATATCGTACATTATTTTGTTGCACCAGACTGTCACCTTATTGAAAACTAAGTTTTTAAATGTATAATGAGCAAATTGCTCTTCAGTTGTTCAATCTTTGACCAGATATAAATTTTAGTATTACATGATTTACTGAATAAATGGATATACTTGATAAAAATGCAGTATTTTTATTTATATATAGTGTTTTATGATAAGCCTGCACATAGAGTTAAGATTTCTTGAACTGTTCAATGAACAATATTTGCATGTGTTCAATTTTTAAAATATTTAGAGACGAGACTATATAGACTTGGTCAAAAGCAAGCAGCTTACGAAGATAAAAAAGGAAATAAAAAAATGAATATAATACTTCGTAGTGTTAGGGGGGTTTTTATAATTTATTTTCAAGCATTTTAAAAAGATTCAAATTTGTTTTAAATTAGATTTTTACAGTTGCGTTATAATAAAAAAAGACGTTTTAGAGTAGAAAATAAATAAAGTTTCTTTTTATTCATATATTTTCATTCAACTTTTTAGAAAAGTACCCCTATTATTAAATATGTTTTTAGTTTAGTACCCCTATTATTAAATATGTTTATTAAAATTTTTTCTGCATAATTTTTTAATGAAAAATGACGTTGAACATCCATTAACGTCAAACAATCATTGACTTTAAACATTCATTGACGTTAAACGTTCATTGAAAGTACAATATCATGAGATGTTCTATTAAGAAAAAAAAAGTTTTTAGAAACTTTGCATAACCGTAACTAAGTAACTAATAGCATTAAGCTTTGACTGAACTATAATAATTAAGATCAATAACTATTAAAATTAAGATCAATAATAAAGTTAATTTTTCTTAGTAAAATATTTTGCTTTAGAAACTTTCGGACTAATATAGTCGATGTGTAGTTCTCACCTGATGTTTTTGTCAAAAACAGCACCTAAAAAGTTGTGACATAATCTCTTTTTACCTAAATATCGTCAATAAAACTTTAGGATAATAATGCTTTTTTTAAAGATGACAAGTAAATACTTCATTTTGTTTTGATAATGTTAAGATTTCATTTGCTGCATTTAAGTTGTTAGGATATACTTTTAAAATCATTGTTCTTACGTAGAAGTTCAAATATAGAAAAAAATTAATCTCATTTGTAAAAATGTTTTTTATTAAGATGAATTAATGAATTAATTAAGAGATCTTTTTGTCGATTAGATGAAATTTCAATGAAACATTTATACACGTCATTGGTTCGTCCACACCTGGAGTTTGCGGTGCCGGTATGGAACCCTTACTACTAAAAGAAAAAAACAGTAAAAATATAAAACAAATAAAACAAAAAAATATATATAACATTTAAAAAAGAAAAAAAAAAAAAAAACTTTTGCAACGGCTGTCAAATTTTTAACATCTACAGATGTTAGACTCACACATTGTATTTGTACAGCAAAATTTATTATTATTATTATAATTGAGATTTTATTTAAGTCATTGTAATAAACTAATGATGTTAGTTTCCCCAAAATAGAGCCTCGTGAAATACCACATGAAACACTTACTAGTATTACTGAAAAAAAAAGCTTCTTACAAATATTGTGGAAAAAAACTCTTTTATGATTTGATGAACTATATATATGACATATCATTGACCTATTAAAAGTATCGAATACTTTAATAGGTCAATGAAAAAATCTAAAGTAAGGGAAAGGAGGGTAAGTGTGCGCGCCTAATGAGTTTTTATTCATAAAAAGAGTAATTAAATTGAGAGACTGCTGAAATTTTTATACAATAATCTTTTATATATAACAAAACTTTAGACATAATGCAAATAATATTGCATTGAAAATAAAGAAATATTAGAATTGCGCACTTTTAAATGATCATGAGGGAAGAGTCCGCATATGAGAGGGTAAGGGTGCGCACTAACAAATATTGCAAATAAATGGCCTAGTTCCTTCATAACTAGTGCATTCTTCATGCCACCAACTCTCGCAAAGTCCCCATTGAATCCATTCTTAATCTATTTGCTCTGCTTCTCCACAAGTTGGACAAATCGTTTCTTAATTTTCATTATTTTTAAAACTGTAACATTTTTAAAGTTTTTTTCTTTTTTAGCTTTTTTAACGTTTTAAAACTAGATTTTTAGAAAATTTTATTCTTTGTTAGCTCGATCGGCTTTAGCCTTTTTGGATTCTTGACTCATTTTTTCTATGTCTTCTAGCTTCTTTTGACATAAATCGTAAATAAATAATGTTATATATTAAAATAATAATTTTTAAGTCAAAGATTTTAAATTTGTTAATAATTTTTTTTTAACGCGCAGCTTCGACGCGTAAAATGCGCGCTTACTCGTATTAAATTATTTTTTTTTTTAGTTTTTAGAATCTTCAAGACACTAATACTTTTGATATATTACTCTACTTGATATTTTTAAAAAAATGGTTTTTAAAGGATGTTGATATATAGAGAAAAAATACTGTATTTTTTTACATTAAATTTATTATTTACATTACAATTAATTTAAAAACTTCACCTGGTAACGGTTTTCCTCGATAGCTCTTATGTTTTCTAAAAGATATGCTTGATATTTTTGGATCTGATCTTACTAGAAGGTAGTGCATCTGATTCATCATTGTGTTTAACCTTGATATTTTTGCCGTGTGCTTAAGTCTAGAATTTCTTATCTGTTTATTCAAACTCTCCAGTGTTTCTTCCAAATATACCACGATTGGCAAAGGTAATTTATGTGATATAAAAGAACTATGCAGTAGCAGTTTATGAACAGTAGGAGGCATAACATACCAGTTGTATAAACTCACTATACGTTTAGCTGTTTCAGTGCAGTATAAATCTAATTCATTGATATTAATAGGATATCCACAAGATATGGTTATGAGAATATTATGCAATCTTTTAATTATATCACAATCAACTTTAGTAATTTCAGAAAAAATCAATATTTTTAAATGCTCTTCTGGCAGTGTTGCCGTCATTTGTGTTTCCAGACCCAGTTTTAGGCATATCAACGTATAGGCTTAACCGTTCTCTGAAGAGTACCTGAATCTCTTTTTTTTTCAAGTCTACAGATAGTTTTTTCTCAATTGTTTTTGGCTTATACTTTTTAATTTCAATTTTATAACTCAAATGAAGAATGAACTCCAAGCATTTTATCCAGCAATGCAAAGCTGAAATTCTGAGCCCCAAGGCCGAGTCAATCTCAGTTTTTGCTTTTAATAAATCAATATTGTTCATTTCCTTGGCTTTAGCATTGCACACATTGCAGGATTGAGTGGATTTTGTCTCTGTAAGTGCGCTAACTACTTTATTATCAAACATTGTAAGATCAATCCTATAGCTGATATTAAATGTCAAAATTCTTCCTGCAATATTAAAAACTTTGCAAAACGTCTTTAAGGTATTTAATTGATTTTTTAGATCTGATTCTTCTTCTCTGGATAAAATTGGACTATCTTTTTTATATTGTAGATGAAGAGGTCTATAAAAATGACAGCTTGAAGAATTTTCAATTTTCCAAATTTCGCCATCTTCTACTTTGAGCAACAAAAGCACAAAAGTTGTACTGAAAAGATTTTCTTCATGCTTAAGTTCTAAACTTGCGTTGCTTGCAGCGCCGGCCTTAGCTTTTTTGACAGGTTGGGCAAAACTTGTGAACGCCCCCCTAGGTATATATGGGTGGGTTGATACCATTAACAACGAGACCAATGCTCTAAAATGATGAACAAGAGTGCTAAAGGGAATATATAGTTTAATGCAAAGAGATCCATATTGTGCATCAAGTTTCTTATTTAATTAATTTCTTATTAAAATTATAAATTTAGACTTTTCATGATATGGGTTTATAGAAATGAGTGACTAAATAAATAGACAACGCAACGCTGCTTTTAAAATAACAAATGTTTTTATTAAACATATAATAAATCCTCTAACTATATAAACAAGAGTTATTAAATTTTAAAATCTAACTTTTCTAGCTTTTTTGTCCGCAAAATCTTTTATCAAACTAGAAAAATCTAAATTTTCAGCTATATCTTGCTCGATTGATAACATAAATAGAGAATTAAGTCGATCTTGCAACATGGTATTTCTTAAATATGTACGCTGCTTATTTGGTATCGGATGGCTTTGAGGCTCTCAATTTTGGCTTCCCAACGAGTGTCACATAATCGTTTAAGAGTGAAGTTTGTTGTATGACTAAGTAAAACATTCCAGCGTGAAGTTGATGCAGTAAATAATGTGAATAATCTTTGTATTATGCCAAAAACGTTAATGGAATTTAGTGAAGACTGAGCTGCGTCACAAATAACCGAATTGAGAGAATGACTTCCACATGGAAGGTAAAAAGTCAAAGGATTCAAATCTAATATTCGCTTTTGTAGACCTATTTTTTTACCTTTCATATTTGCACCGTTATCGTAACCTTGCCCTCGACAAAAGCTTATATTCAGTCCAAAATCTCTGGTTGATGTATCACTAAGTAGATGCGCAACATTTTCTCCTTCCTTTATTTTATTACAATCACTATTTTCCGATGTAAAAATATTTTCAAGTTTTTATAATTTTTCTTCAAATTATCAACTTTTTCTGCTTTACGTTTTTTGTATTGAGCACCAGATGGTTTCTTATTATTATGAGTTTTAAAAACATTTTTTTCTTTATTATGAGTACTCTCTATTGATTGCTGCTGACAGTTTCTATTTGTCTAAAATTTCAAAATAAAAAAATTACTCGCAAGCTAATAATTCATAACCAATTTCATTATTTATACTTACCTGCTTTTTATTACCGCAAAATTTGAAAACTTGACAAAAACTGAATTTGAATCACAAATACAACTTTAAATTTCTTCTACAAATTAATAAACAACGCGCTACAAATTAATAAACAACTCGTACCGAAAATAATGTTTAAAATTTAAACTTTAAATGAATGGAACGCAAAATAATTGGCGCCGAGAAAGATACAAGTAAAAAAATGAATTTAAGTAACAAAATATAAGCTACGATTGAAACACTTTTACTCAAACTATTAATTTTGCATAAAGAATTTTTAACAGTGTAATGATACAATAAAGAAATTATTTAAAGAAATTATTTTTATAAAAAAAAAAAACATTCGAAAAAATAACAAAAAATCGAAAATCGAAATCGAAAAAATTTAGGTTGACTTATTTTTTCTATTTATTATATTAATAAAGTTTGCATACAACGTTTGGCGCCCCTGTTTCCTGGCGCCCTTGGGCGGCGCCCAACCTCGCCCCCCCCTAAGGCCGGCACTGGTTGCTTGTATCGTATTTCTGTTTATAAATACTTTGGCTTGATGCTCCATCAAAACCAATCTTTCCATATAAAACTCCAAATATTTCATCACTTTGACCAAAATTAGGCATATCAATCATTTCTGTTATTCTACTCACAGTGTGATCTAACATGCTTTGAAGAGTACACTTTGCAGGAATTTCAGAAAAATGTATATTCTCAGGATAGCATTTCAATTTTTCCACGAAAATATCGTGCAAGGTAGGATAAATATCACGTTGTGTACAAGAGCTGAGTTTCTGATCATTTGATATTGTTTATCGCTGAGATCAGCATTCATTTTTAATGCAAGAGCATTCTCTACACTCATGTTAATGGGAAAGGTTTTATCCAAAGTTTTATCAACTTTTTCTATCTCTAAAACATTAGATATATTGTTTTTAAAAACAGAGGGATTTTTTTTTCTCCAGTAGCATTTGCACTTTTTGCAGAAGCTAAAAATAGAGCTTTATGATGTTCAGTGGCTAGTTCTTTTATTTTTTTTCTTTTGCTTCTCTCTCCAAGAACACTCCATTGTTTATGGGGCCTTCCAGAACCAAAATGGCTATTTTTATTGTTCATAAGATTTCTTTGAAGCCAACGATTTTCTTTTTGTATAAATGTATCATAGTTTTGTAAACATTGTTTTAGTTTTTCTTCACCTTTGAAACAAATATAACTAAAGCAAGCTTAACTTTGTTTATGTTTTCTTTGCGAATTTTTTCAGTATTTTTTATTTCATTAAGTAAATCCTTCCATAATTTTAATTTATCAACTCCTAATTCACGTATATTTGGGGTAAGATTTAATCTTTTCATTGTTATCGTTTTTAAGAACCATCAATATAATAAAACTAATATATTAGACACATTTTAAATTACATTACATATTTTTTTACTTTACACTGTTTCAAATTTTATCTTGTTATGACTTCACTAGTCGACTATCTTACAGACAACTTATAAATCTTATAGGATCGCATATAATCTTATACTATCCTACAGGATATCTTACAGGATTTGTAAGATTTTATTTGTCTTTCAAATCCTATAGGACCATAAGAAATCCTGTGATTACCCATAGGGTATCTTAAACGATTCGTAAGATTTTATTTGTCTTGCAAATCCTATAAGATCATAAGAAATCCTGTGATTATCCTGTAGGGTATCTTAAAGGATTCGTAACATTTTCAATTTTTTAAATTTATTTTGAAAAATGAAAAACTTATCGGTGGTGGGTTTCACCGCCGATAAGTTTTTCACCGATAAGTTTCCTGCGCTACACAACATTATAAGTATGGAAATAAATAAAAATATATTATAATTAAAAAATAATTGAAAAACTATTTTTATTGAATGTATATAGATAAAAGTGTTGTAAAAAAATTAAATAATAACAAATAACTATATATATATATATATATATATATATATATATATATATATATATATATATATATATATATATATATATATATATATATATATATAAAATGCCGCCAAGAACTGTTTCGCCGCCCGGGACAGCAACATGATTGGCGTTCTTAATTATTGAAATTCTCCTATATTATCGGTAAAGGACCTTTGTTCCAAGGTACCTTCATTCTATTTGGTGCCCCTTGGAAATCTGCCGCCCGGGACAATCTGTCCCTTACGTTAAAATTAAATTATTACCAAAAAAATCTAGTTAAATTAAAATTTTTCTCGCAATCTGAGAGTACATTGAATTGGGTGACTTTCTGAGTAAATTGAGTCGTAGAGTGACGTGATTTAAATCATTAGGCATTATGAATTGCGGGAAAATAAATAGCACTCAAGTGCTATTTATTTTCCCGCAATTCATAATGCCTTCCAAAAGCGCATTCAATTCACGTCACTAGCGCATTTAAAACACGTCACAAATCACAAAAATTAAATATTAGATACAAAATTAAGATATTAGATTCTCAAACAGCATGTTCATTATAATGAACATGCTGTTTGAGAATCTAATATCTTTTTAATTTCTGTTAAAGAAATATATAAATAGTTGCTATATTATGATTATTTTATATTATGGATTTTATGAAAATTTTATAAACTTGGTAACATAAATATGCATAAATTTTGTTGTATTAATAATTAATTTTTTATTTAAACTTTACTCTAATTAATTAATAAAAATTAATAATAAAAATTGTTATATATTTATTTTACATATTATATATATATATATATATATATATATATATATATATATATATATATATATATATATATATATATATATATATATATATATATATATATTATATATTTTTTAAAGTATGAAAGTTTGCTATATTTTTAACACAAAATTTAAACATTATTTTTAACATTAAATTTAAAATGTTTTAGAGAAAGCCTGAATATAACTCATGGAGAGGCTGATAGGTAGGTTTTTTAATTAGGGCATTTTTATGTAGGTAATGTTATTGGGCAGCAGCTTTAAGGCTTACCTATTTTTTATAAGTTGTTGGCACAGGGTGGGAGGGGGTTATTTAGAAAATCATACTTTCAGTGCTTGGGTTTTTATTAAATTTTCTATTTTTCTTAACCTATTTTGAAAATTTGGGATCAATTAGTTTAACTTGTTGGATCATGATCAAGATCCAAAAAAGTAGGATCTTGGACTAACAACTTCTCATACTTCATTTATTGAAATAATTATAAATATGTAAGTATAAAAAAAGCTTCTTGGAAAATATGAAACTTCAGGATTACAAGAAAAAGCCAGAATTTAAAATTTAAGTTTTTGACCAGTCATTCGTTTGACCGAATCGATCCATGGATTTGACTAATATGCTCAGATTAGGCATTTCAAATGAATTTTTTTTTTCTTAAATTCGCCTAAATATTTGGAGCAATTAGCTAAAATTTCAAGTGTTTTTACTTTTTACTTAGTCATACTCTTTAAATAATTACAAATTTTGTCAGGGGGTAATAATCCCCCCCCCTCCCTTGTGTCTGCGATGGGTTAAGGGGCGGGACGGGTTTTAAATTTTTAATTAACGATTAATTACCTGATTACTATTATTTTTTTATATATCTTTATTTCTTATTATAGAACCACACTTCCTGATGCAATAATACAAAATCTCAAAGAGCAACTTGCAACAGTTTTTGCCAATTACTCGTGGGCGTGCGTCAGACGAAGTCTTAATCAGAGCGGCCTAGATAGGAAGAAAAAATGAAAGTAATCAGCAATGCAATTGTGATTCTGTAATAATGATAATATGTGAAAAATTTCTTTTATACAGAATGATTTTTTTTTAATAAGAAAATGTTATTTCAAACTTTAACTTACCTATTATCAGTAATTAAAAAGAAGAGTAGACATACTTTCCTTCCAATCAAAATAAAAACCTAACTTCGTATGTTCTTAGTTTGGCTATTAGATTTATGATATTAATTATAAAATAATAAATGTTATGTTCCTATCGTTGGCGTATTAAGACATTTCAGGGCCCGGAGTCCTTTTTAACGTGCCACAGCATAAAAATGACTAAAACAGTAGAAAAAGAAAAAGGTCCGCTTAATAGTTTTGGAATCCCGAAATTTTAGGACCCTAACCCCCTCCTCTTTAATCTATCACTGGTTCCTATAGGAACCAGTGCTGGATTAAAGGGGAGGGCTACGGCCGTATATATACGAATCTAAAATTTTCCTTCAGCATCCTATAAGAATCCTGTTAATCCTGCAAGATCTTTTAAAATATTCTTGTAGATCTTATACTATCTTATAAGAATTCCTTCAAATCCTACAAGATCCTTCAAAAGATTCTTGTAGGTCCTGCAGGGACTTGTGCATCTTATCCTATAGGATTCTTGTAGGGTTTGTAAGATCAGTCGTCTAGTGTTTTAACAATTTTCACATTGTTACATCCTGTAATAACACATATTACTTAGTTAACTTTATATTACATGTAATATAAAGTTAACTAAGTAATATGTGTTATTACAGGATGTAACAATTTGGTATTTCTTGAAACGGGAAATACCAAAGTTGTTCAATTAAACTTTTTCAAACATGTTGTACTTATCGAATAATAAATCGTTCTTTAAAATTGTCAATAAATATTTTAACAAACTTTTAAATAGTATATAATGACAAAAGCACGTTTTTTAAAACTATATTTAATATTTATGATTTAAAAACTATATTAGAACAAGTTCTACAAGCAAGAAACTTAACTTTAAGTTTCCCGCCAATTTCATTTGTTTTGATATAATAAAGTTCTTAGCAAAATGGCGGAAAACAAGGTTTTTATAAAATCATCAACATTTGTTTTTCTTTAATAACTTCCAATACCGCAGGAGACCGCAGTAATCCTTTTAGATTCCTAAAGTAGAAATGTTAATTAACTGGAAAATATATATATATATATATATATATTTGTGGAACTTGGTGGAACATTTTTTTAGCTGATATGTAAGCAAAAACAATACAATTATTTTCTACTTTTTTTTAGAGAAGTCTTTAAATTTAAACGAAAAAATCAGACTTTTTTTTTTTTTTTTTTTTAGTATATTTGAAATATATAGAGTCAAAATATTATTTTAAAAATAAATATACACTTTTATTTAAATTTCAAGTTCTCTAATTTATTTATATAAAAACCTCACATTTTTCAGATTTCTTTAAAAATAATATCAAATTTTTTCCTTCTTTTACCTATAAAATACAAAATAAAAGCTTTATGAAAAAATTATTTTTACTTTTGAAATACAAAATCATTGTCTTTTAATATTATCTAACAAAGGGCACATAATTTATAAAAAAGTGGTGAGGAGTTTATTGCCATTTTTTTGTTGTTTTGAGTCACTGTGCAACGTTATGACTGTTGATTGTTGAGATATTCTCTTCTTTTTAGTTTGCCCTCCATTTTATTTGGAAGAGGAACAATTGTACTAATAAACTTTTATTTTATTGGAACATGTAGGTAATTATTGTTCTACTTGCAAGTTACTTTCGTCTGACGAATATTTATCCAAATCATTTTCATTCAATGAATTTTCATCTAATGCAATTTTATTTAATGTATTTTTCCACATTTTCTTTATTCGTTTCTTTATTCAGAGTGACTTGCGAATGTGCAAATTTAGTTTCGTTTATCACATTAGGATCATGCAATTTTATGACAGTAACTTTTGTTGTTTGAAGTATTTGTGTAATGTGTTTTGAAAGTTATAACCAGTAACTTTTGTAATGCGTTTTGAAAGTTATAACCAGATCGCAACACTTTACGCAAATAAAAATTCTAACCTCACTTATTATTAGGAACTAAAATTGCTACAACTCAATATAATCTTTATCATATTTCATAAACTATACACTAGTCAACTATCTTACAGACAACTTATGAGTCTTATAGGATCGCATATAATCTTATACTATCTTACAGGATATCTTACAGGATTTGTAAGATTTTATTTGTCTTTCAAATCCTATAGGACCATAAGAAATCCTGTGATTACCCATAGGGTATCTTAAAGGATTTGTAAGATTTTGTTTGTCTTACAAATCCTATAAGATCATAAGAAATCCTGTGATTATCCTGTAGGGTATCATAAAGGATTCGTAAGATTTTCAATTTTTTAAATTTATTTTGAAAAATGAAAAACTTATCGGTGGTGGGTTTCGAAACCCGGATCACTAGACCATTAGTGCCTTACCACCTGCGCTACACAACATTATAAGTATGGAAATAAATAAAAATATATTATAATTACAAAATAGTTAAAAACTATTTTTATTGAATGTATATAAATAAAGATGTTGTAAAAAAATTAAATAATAACAAATAACTATATATATATATATATATATATATATATATATATAAAACGCCGCCAAGAACTGTTTCGCCGCCCGGGACAGCAACATGATTGGCGTTCTTAATTATCGAAGTTCTCCTATATTAACGGTAAAGGACCTTTGTTCCAAGGTACCTTCATTCTATTTGGTGCCCCTTGAAAATCTGCCGCCCGGGACAATCTGTCCCTTACGTTAAAATTAAATTATTACCAAAAAAAATCTAGTTGAATTTTTTCTCGCAATCAGAGTGTACATTAAATTGCGTGACTTTCTGAGTAAATTGAGTCGTAGAGTGACGTGATTTAAATCATTAGGCATTATGAATTGCGGGAAAATAAATAGCACTCAAGTGCTATTTATTTTCCCGCAATTCATAATGCGCATTTAAATCACGTCACTAGCGCATTTAGATCACGTCACAAATCACAAAAATTAAGATATTAGTTAGAAAGTTAAGATATTAGATTCTCAAACAGCATGTTCATTATAATGAACATGCTGTTTGAGAATCTAATATCTTTTTAATTTTTGTTAAAGAAATATATAAATAGTTGCTATATCATGATTATTTTATATTATGGATTTTATGAAAATTTTATAAACTTGGTAACATAAATATGCATAAATTTTGTTGTATTAATAATTATTATTGTATTTAAACTATACTCTAATTAATTAATAAAAATTAATAATAAAAATTGTTATATATTTATTTTACATATTATATATATATATATATATATATATATATATACATATATATATATATATATATATATATATATATATATATATATATATATATATATATATATATATATATATATATATATATATATATATATATATATATATATATATATATATATATATATATATATATATATATATTATATATATAAATATATATAATATTTTAAATTTAAAATGTTTTAGAGAAAGCCTGAATACAACTCATGGAGAGGCTGATAGGTAGATTTTTTAATTAGGGCATTTTTATGTAGGTAATGTTATTGGGCAGCAGCTTTAAGGCTTACCTATTTTTTATAAGCTGTTCGCACAGGGTGGGAGGGGGTTTTTTAGAAAATCATACTTTCAGTGCTTGGGTTTTGTTTAAATTTTCTATTTTTCTTAACCTATTTTGAAAATTTGGGATCAATTAGTTTAACTTGTTGGATCATGATCCAGATCCAAAAAAGTAGGATCTTGGACTAACAACTTTTCATACTTCATTTATTGAAATAATTATAAATATGTAAGTATAAAAAAAAGCTTCTTGGAAAATATGAAACTTCAGGATTACAAGAAAAAGCCAGAATTCAAAGTTTAAGTTTTTGACCAGTCATTCGTTTGACCGAATCGATCCATGGATTTGACTAATATGTTCAGATTAGGCATTTCAAATGAATTTTTTTTTACTTAAATTCGCCTAAATATTTGGAGCAAGTAGCTAAAATTTCAAGTGTTTTTACTTTTTACTTAGTCATACTCTTTAAATAATTTAAAAATTTTGTCAGGGGGTAATAATCCCCCCCTCCCTTGTGTCTGCGATGGGTTAAGGGGCGGGACGGGTTTTAAATTTTTAATTAATGATTAATTGCCTGATTTCTATGATTTTTTTTTATATATCTTTATTTCTTATTATAGAACCACAGTTCCTAATGCAATAATACGAAATCTCAAAGAGCAACTTGCAACAGTTTTTGCCAATTACTCGTGGGCGTGCGTCAGACGAAGTCTTAATCAGAGGGGCCTAGATAGGAAGAAAATGCGCAAGTAATCAGCAATGCAATTGTGATTCTGTAATAATGATAATATGTGAAAAATTTCTTTTATACAGAATGATTTTTTTTTAATAAGAAAATGTTATTTCAAACTTTAACTTACCTATTATCAGTAATTAAAAAGAAGAATAGACATACTTTCCTTCCAATCAAAATAAAAACCTAACTTCGTATGTTCTTAGTTTGGTTATTAGATTTATGATTTTAATTATAAAATAATAAATGTTATGGTTCCTATCATTGGCGTATTAAGACATTTCAGGGCCCAGAGTCCTTTTTAACGTGCCACTGCATAAAAATGACTAAAACAGTAGAAAAAGAAAAAGGTCCGCTTAATAGTTTCGGAATCCCGAAATTTTAGGGCCCGAGCCCCCTCCTCTTTAATCTATCACTGGTTTCTATAGGAACCAGTGCTGGATTAAGGGGGAGGGCTACGGCCGTATATATACGATTCTAAAATTTTTCTTCAGCATCCTATAAGAATCCTGTTAATCCTGCAAGATCTTTTAAAATGTTCTTGTAGATCTTATATTATCTTATAGGAATTCCTTCAAATCTTACAAGATCATTCAAAAGATTCTTGTAGGTCCTGCAGGGAGTTGTGCATCTCATCCTATAGGATTCTTGTAGGATTTGTAAGATCAGTCGTCTAGTGTAT